AAACAGCCAGGTGTGGCTCAAATGTGTAATTCTAGCTACTTGGGAGGTACAGACGAAGGATTATAGTTTTACACCAACCCCAGGCAATAGTTGGTGAGACTCCATCTCAGTCAGTAAAAGCTGGGTGTGATGGTGTGTGCCTGTCAAGTGGTAGAGCACTTGCCTAGTAGGCTCGAGGCATAATCTTTTATTTTAACATACTGAAATTCATTTTGATATTACACTGTCCTCTTTGAACTTCATTCTCTTTGTATATAAAATGTAGAATTTGAGCTAGTTCACCTATGAGATGTCTCTAACTCAAAATTATATTATTCTTAATTCTGCTCCATGAATTTTAAAACTGCTGACTGTCTGCACAGAACAGCCAGCCATCTTTTCCACCTTAGCCCTGTCTCTGCTGCTTACCCAACCTAGCTTCTCTTTTTCCATCTGCTTTGGTGAAGTGGAGCCCCGCCCCCAGACATGGGAGGTAGCTTAGGAGATAAAACAAGGAAGCTACAATACTGAGCCAAGGTATTCAGGCTTTGGGCCAGTGATAAGACTATGGCAGTAAGGCTCTTCAGAGAGTAATGGATTTATAACACCATCGTCTGTTCTGCTCAGAGAAGTAAAACGTGGATTTATAGCCTAGGAGTTCAGAGCCAAGATCAGTGTCTGCCACTTGAGGATGAAGTGGCAACTAGAGAGAGGCCCATAGGACAGCAACCTGGGCCAGTGTAGAGAACGGTTGCAGTTGTTGCTAGCTGCTGTTGCAAGAGTTCCAGAACTCTGCTGGGGTTTAGCTGGTGACCCAAAGGACCTGGAGAGGTTGATGTTCTTGCAAATACAGGGCTTTTAGATGTAGTTCTTGATCTTGAACAGTTCTGATTAAATGTTTTTATCTTGAATTCTTTGCAAAATTTGAGAATGTTCAGATGAACATTCTAGGTCCTGTTAGAGTAGATTTGTTCTACTTGCAGTTATTATTCAATTTGCTTCTATGTGCAGCTTCTGTGCAACTTTTCTCTGTCTTGGCCTCTCCACCATTGCTGGGATGGATAACCTGCCCTTTAGGTGTAGCTCACTGGACCCATTTGGATTTTCTTTCCTGCATATGAATAGGGGTGGTCCTGTTAAGACAAACTTTGAGCTGATGGTTTTCAAGTGGTTCTGAATTAGGATCAGCTGCACAATATTATTTTTTGAGTTGGGTGTCTCACTATGTAGCCCAGGTTGGCCTCTACCTCCCAAGTGCTGGGATTACAGTCATAAGTCATAACAGCAGCTCCTGCACAACTTTATAAGAACATAGGGCTGGGGGAGTGACTCAGTAGAGCGCATGCCTAGCAAGCCTAACAAGCCAAAAAAAAACCAAAAAACAAAACAAAAAAACCACATGCCTGTGCTTACCTGCTAGATAGCTCAATCAGTAGGGCTCAAGAGGGACCCAAGCATGTGTATTTTAGTAGCTTCCCTTGGTGAATGGACCAGCAGAACAGAGCACCAACTCAGCACCATCCTGTTACTTCTGATGGTTCCCCCATACTGCCCAAGTAAGGAGAGTGGAGAGCTTCTCTAGGGATTTGGACCTTGAAATTATGAATCTTTCCTCTTTTTCTGTTCTGTAACCAGATTTTTGAGTTTTGGTTTCTTCAGTATAGGACTAGATTTCTGTGGTCCCCTCCAAAAGTAGGATTGCAAACTCCTATTACATTTTTATTAATTCAATAAATATTGAATGCCTACTTTGTATCAGACATTTTGTCAAGTGCTGTCCAGTCTGGTGGTGAGTTGTTTTTCTAGTTAAGAAAACAGCATGGGGTAGGGAAACAAGCACAGGCTTTGGACTTTAGGTATAACCCAGTCTGCTGCTTAGAGCTTAGTGCCCTCACATCTTACTTCTCCTCTCCAAGATTCAGTTGCTTCCTCTCAAAAATAGGCACAGTGATACCTATTTAATAGGCTATTATGAGGGTTAAATTAAATAGGTACTAGGTTCCCACCCCTTTCTACCATTCCTTACGTTGGCCATATTGGCTAGACTACAAGTGACCTAGAGCACTTGACTTCTTGAATTCCCTATTGCTTGATAAGTTGTTATAGCCTCATCTGATACACCCAGCTGTAATACGATCCAACATTCAAGGCAGTAAAGTACACTGTTGGAGGATCACCTGTGTCTACTCACTTGGACCAGAAAGTCTATTCAGAAGCTATGTAAGTAAACAGTACTCAAGAAACCCGTTTTAACTTCACCTCTCTCACTATGACTAGAGGAGCACCTCACCTTTTGAGTCCTAGTTTCTTACAGTTTTTTTTTTTTTTTCTTCCCCAGTACTGGGGATTGAACTAGTGATGGATGGCTAGGCAGGAGTTCTACCACTTGAGCCATCTTCCCAGCCTCTCTTGCTTGAGTTATTTTTCAGAGAGGGTCTCACATTTTCACCTGGCACAGTCCTTGACCATGAACCTACTACCTTCACCTCCCGTGTAGCTGGGAGTATGCTGCTGCATCCAGCCCCGGTTGTCTTTGTTTCCAGTGGCTTACGATGTTACGACATTGTAGACACAGTTTGAAAATATGAACATCACACTTTTTAAAGTTAAAACAGGTGGGCGTATGCCTAGCATGCTCACACCTGTAATCCTAGCTACTCAGGAGGCAGAGATCAGGAGGATCTCAGATCGAAGCCAGCCTGGGCAAATAGTTCGAGAGACCCTATCTTGAAAAATCCCGTCACAAAACAAAAAACAAAACAAAAAAAGGGCTAGTGGAGTGGCTCAAGGTGAAGGCCCTGAGTTCAAGCCCTAGTACCACAAAAAATCCCCCAAAAGTTAAAAACAATAATTAAATGCTTCAATACTATGAGAAGTTCTATAAAGAAAATCCTTTTAGCTGGGCATGGTGATGCACACCTGTAATCTTAGTACTGGAGGCAGTATCAGGAGGATCACAAGTTCAAGACCAGCCTGGGCTACTTTCTGTCAAAAAACAAACAAACTCTTTTTAGCTTAGTAAGACTCTTTTTGATCTTTTTGACCTGTCTCATGTGTCTTGGTTTTCTACAAAGTTGTGGTCAATGTATGTGTCTGATTTTTAGTTCTTTATTTTTCTTTTTACAGTGCTAGGGTTTGAACCCAGGAACTCATGGTTGCTAGGCAGGAGCTCTACCACTTCAGCCACACCCCCGGCCTTTTTTTTTTGCTTTGGCTTTTTTTCAGATAGGGTCTTTCATTTTTTTCGCTTGGGCCAGCCTGGATTGTGATCCTCCTACTTAACGCCTCCAGCATAGCTGGCATTATAGATGCATATCAACACACCCAGCTTTCTTTTATTGAGATGGGATCTCACTAACTTTTTGCCTGGGCTGGACTCGAACCTCCATCCTCCTGATTTTGATCTCCACCTCCCAAATTGCTGGGATTAAAGGTGTGAGTCACCTTGCCTGCCCTGTTTGTTTTGTTTTTTTGAGACAGGGTGTTGCTGTGTAACCCAGCCTGGCCTCAAACTTGTGATTCTTCTACTTCAGCCTCTCAGATGTGAGTTTTTGTATTTCTACTTTGTAGTATTAACTGTATAATGTTCCAGTGTACTAACATGACAACTTTTGAATTCATATTGTTGAGAGTGTAGTCATGGAATATTCTGGTCTACAAAACTGAAATCCAGTGAAATTTAATTATGTATCCACTCTGGACAGGATAAATTTATAAGAAACAGATTTTTATTATACTAAAAACTTTAACAGTCCACTTAAATAAAAATAGATAAACCTCACTTAACCAAGTAAAGCAGAAGGAAAACATCTTACATCTAAAAGGTACGCTGTGTTCATGTTTTGGTTAACATGCTTGCCTATACTTTTTCTTTGGCCTTCCATTACCTTAGCTGGTTTCTGTCTGTGGAAAGCTAAGACACAGACTTAGCTCACATGTTTTAAGACATTACTCTGTAATTAGCTTTCTTAAATTCATGCAATGTGATTCTTATGCTGAAAGTGACCTTTTTTTGCCTAGTCCTGAAGTTACCTCTCTAACACTTCCATACACCATCACATCCATCTCCCCCCACCCCGCCCCCCGTCCCGTAGTTATTTTCTTAAAACACACGTGCACGGACATAGGCATACTTGGCCGCATCTAATCAACTTTACAAGGGCTTTCTCAGTGGATGACTCAGCATGATTCAGCAGCTTGTTTCCTTAGGGAAGTTTCACAGAAGCCAATGTATTTTCAGTGGTTAATCTGTCTTACAGACTAGAAAATTCAGATTTCTTCTGGTTTATGGTTTTAGTGTAGCTCAGTCAGTTACGATAAATATACAGATATATCTTAGGAGAGGATGAGAAGTGGTTTAAAAGAGATTCCTAGGACTGAAGAACATTTCTGTGATTCAGAAGTAAAAGATTATTTAAAATTTATTTCCATCCATTTACAGAATGTTAGGGTGGGAACATCATGCTGGTGTGGGGAAGAGGGTCCGCAGCCTAAGGATCATACACTGTCTGAACTAAATGGACACCATGAGGTTTTCACTGTGCATTATGCAGTATGTTAAGGACTTTGGGAAGTGCCGACATGTTCTAAAAGTTCCCTTATGAGAACCCCCTACTTACCTGTGATGTATTTCAACTACTAAACATGCGTAAGGGCCTAGTTACCATGAGAGAATTCTTCCTGATAGATCCCTGGGGGACCAGCCTGGGAGTAGCCATTGCTCTAGTTTGCAGTCGTAGGGCCTGGGTGGAGGCTCTGGCAGGCTATAGATCTACCGGCAATGACAGCCTGTGCTCATTCTCTGGTGGCCAGAAGAGTGGGAACAAGTGGTGGTAATAGCTTGTTCTGGTATCTGCACATTGCTTGTGTCTTTATGTTGTAATTTCACATCTAGTGATACAGGGCATACATTTGCTTGAGTTTGTCAGTGGTGATGGAGAATAGGTTGTGAAAGAATAATGTTTGAAGATGTTTCATTGAGATCTTACTAAATGATCTACTTTCTTTGTATTGCCTTTCAGAATGAAAGCCATAGAGAGTCCCAACAAAGATGATGATACCCAGTGGCTGACCTACTGGGTAGTATATGGTGTGTTCAGCATTGCCGAATTCTTCTCTGATCTCTTCCTCTCATGGTTCCCCTTCTACTACATGCTGAAGGTACATTGGTTTCTAAACTACTGTTTCCTTTCACATATGTATTTGCTTTGCTCCCCTGCCACAAAAACTCCATCTCAGGACAAGGAATAGGAACAAATGCTTGAATGTTGGCCATCCACAGGTCTGTCTCAGATTATAAATAAGAAGACAGGATTTAATGTCCACTTTCATTTATATACTGTCTTGGGAACATTCAGAGCAATTGTGTGTTCGAGATGTGTTTGGTAATAGTAAAGGATGGAAATGCTGTAACCTAGTGCAAGTATTGCCGTTAGTTTGCTAAGATCTTGTCTTCATGCAGTTGTCTACGTGTGATGTAGAAGCATTGCAGATTTCCGCAGATAATCAGTTATTCACATTGTGAGCGGGGGTCGTTATTTCTGGAAGAAAAACTACTTAGTAATAGGTTTGGGAAAAATGTGCAGCTGGCTCTCTGAGAAAATTATTTTAGTGACTTTGGCAGTTGCAGTAGTCAGGGATCAGCCTTACCATACCTTGTGTTTGGCACAAGTCTAGCCTTAATTATCAACATTCTGGGAAAGGGGACAGGAAGTTGAAACTTATTCCTGATAGGATATCTGTGGACTTCTGACTTGCACCAGAGGTGAGTGAGAATGAAAACTCTTAATGGAGTGGTTTTTTTTCACTAAGTGAGACAAGCTGCCTTCAGGTGGTTCCTCACATGTCTCCCATAAGAGCTCCTGCTCCCAGTTAGTTGGTATGATGTAAATAATGCCTCTGGTTCTCAGAGCCAGACTTGTGAACTGAACAGCTGGAGAAGAGCGTGGTGTGTCCAGCCAGGGATTTTGGGTTTTCTTCTTTCCCTTCTTCCTTTTTATTACTATTCATTTTAATAAAGGCTACACATGGTATAAGTTAAAGGTTCAAGTAATTCTGTACTGTCACTGATAAAATCTTTATTTTTAATCTGGGTAATCATAGTTCTATTTTTTCTTTGCTTTGCTCTTATCTTTCTGCTTGTCTGCTTTTAAAATCTATTTATTTGTACTTTTCCTGGGAGATTTCTCAATCTGAATTTACAATTTTCACATTTGTTGCATAATTATATTATAACCATTCTCAAGTAATACCATATATTGTGATTTTTTGTTCCAACTATTATATTTTTTCCAACCCAGTTAATTTTGCTTGGCACTTTCCTGTGTTTTCTTGTTTTATTTCATATTGATCATATTCTCTTATTTTTTTTACTATGGTTAGCAAACTGTTCCAAAATTCTAGATCGGCCAGTTCTAATAGCTTTGCTCCTGACAGAATCTGTAGTTGATTATGTTGTTTTTATTTAAAAATGGTTGTACTCATCTTTTTCTTATTATTTTGGTCTGTAAACACATTTTCCTCCAGGTCTTTGATACTCTTGTCAGGCAGTGGAATGGAGGAAGACTACGTTCATTCACACTAGTCTTATTGAGCTCTGGGTAGGGAGTGGATGATCCTGTGGTGGGGAGCAGAGGAGCCAGCTAATAACATTTTGCCACAAAGCAGACCCTCAGGCTAGGCTTCACCCCACACCCTCCATTGTCAAAGATGCTTCTTAGCTGTATTCAGTTGGCGCTGGAGAGGTAGGGAAGTAACTGTGCTTGATTGGTTAGTCACCACCTGTTTTCCTCAGGACCTCACAAGGACAGGACTTGTATGCCCTCATGGTTGCTAGGCAGGCACTCTACCACTTGAGCCACTCACCCAGCCCTTTCTGCTTTAGTTTGATTTTCAGATAGTGTCTCATGCTTTTGCCTTGGACTGTGATCCTCCTGTCTCCACCTCCCATGTAGCTGGAATTACAGACATGTACCACCATGCCCAGAAATAATTTCTTACTGAATTAAAAAATTGTACCCTGACAATTGTATCTTAAGGAAGTAGTCACAGTACAATAAGGGTTTCAGAAGGGTACTCATTGTAGTAATTTTTGTTATGACTAAAAATTATGGACAACTGGAGTCTATCAAAAGGTAAATGATTAAGTGAGTTAATAGTACATCAATACAGTTAAGTGGAATGAAATAGATCCATATGTATAGACACAGAAATTGCTGCATAAGTCATTAATTATAAAACATTATAGAGTAGTACATAGTGCAACACTATGTTAAAAAAAGACAAGAAGGTAAATAAAGTTTTAAAAAATGAAATGAAAACATGATCAATATAGATTACTTGCATTTTCAATGTCATCACCACAGAATATCTTGTAAGGCAATTGGAGAATTTTCCTTTCAAGACAAACAGAAGAAAATTGGTCTGTTTGAAGATTTAAGATTTCAAAGATTGCTGGATTTTTTGCTTTTGCTATTCAAAAGCATTTAACATAAATTTTTTTTTTTTTTTTTTTTGGTGGTACTGGAGTTTGAACTCAGGGCTTCACACAGGTGAAGCTAGGCAGGCGCTCTACCACTTAAGCCACTCTGCTAGCCCTCTTTTTTATGTTAGCTATTTTCAAGATAGGGTTTTTCTAACTGCCTGTTCTGACCTCAAACTGTGATCCTACTGATTTTTGCCTCCTGAATAGCTGGGATTACAGGCATGAGCCATCAGCTTATTTTTATAATCTTTAACCTGGATATGATATATTTTAAACTTTAAATAATTTTGAACCCCTTAATAAGTTTTCTCTAATAGCAGTGACTTTACTGTGCAGAATTTAATGGAAAGAAATGTGGCTTTTGCTGTGGGCCACTGGCTCACTGCAGTGACTAATAATACCCTGTTACTAGGACCTCAGACTTCCAAACATGAGCAAGCTGATTTCTAGCTTGCTTCTGTTCACATCTGTTAATGTTAATACTGTCTGGCAGAGGTAGCAAGAGGGTTCAGAATAAGAGGCAGTCACTGAATCATTTATATTTGGTTTGGAAGCATTAAAAAAAACTGCTTTGCAGCAAAATTTCTTCCCAAATGGTAAAATGAATGTTCATCCATTAGTGGTCCCCAGCTGCATAGCCATCATGGTGTCAATGAGTGGCCTTATTTCATGTTCCAAATATACTTGAGATGATTATAAATTGATGCTGGCAATCAAAATGCTGTCTTCCTGCATCCGTGCATATTCTGAATAGCTTCAGTGAACAGATTGAGAAAGGGCCTTGGACTTGTAGAATCTGTTGAAGTTTTAGGGAAATCTCACATTTTTAAGGAATAGCATAATGACTGTATGGGAATATAAAAAAGAGACCAACAGGTAAGGATATTTATATATTTTATCTTTTGCAGAATTAATATTGTTGGCTTTTTTTTTTTTTTCTCATCTTTTCTAAAATAGCCTATAAGATTGGAGAAAAATAAGAGGAGCCAGTGGCTGGGTGTCAAAGTTTGTTTGAGGAGATAATATACATTGTATTTAGCTAGATGATCATAGGTATTCTGATTTTGCTGTGAGGTCTGTCCTTGCACAGGAGTGTTGAAAAGTAGGTTTAAAATCCCTTTTATTTGTGGGGGAGGGGTTGGGTATAGTGGTACACACCTATAATTCCAGCATGTGGGAGGCTCAGGCAGGAGGATTTTGAGTTCAAGGCCGTCTGGGCCTTATCTCAAAAAAACTAGGGCTGGAGATGTAGCTCAGTGGTAGAGTGCTTGCATAGCATGTGCAAAGCCCTGGGTTCAGTCCCCATTATGCTAAGAAAATAAATAAGCCTTTCTTTTCTGATTATAAAATTCATATATGCTTATTTCTTTATTCAACAGATATTTATTTAGAACCCCTATGTGCTAGATTCTGTTCTAGGTCTAGGGGACACTTTGTGAACATACTGCTTACATTTGTGTAGGAAAGGCATGTTTTTGATAGTAAATTAAATAACATTTATAATCATACTGTAGATCGCCTGCCTAGCAAGTTTGAGGCCCTGAGTTCAAACCCTAGTGCTCAGTGCCACCAATTTATATGTGTGTGTGTATGTATTTACATATATGCCAGGCACTGGTGGCTCACGCCTGTAATCCTAGCTATTTAGGAGGCAGAGATCAGGAGGATCATGGTTCAAAGACAGCCCTGGCAAATAGTTCACGCGATTCTATCTTGAAAAAACCCATCACAAAAAAGAGCTGGTGGGGTGGCTCAAGGTGTAGGCCCTGAGTTCAAACCTCAGGACCACAAAAAAAAAATCATACTACCATTAAAATCTTGGAGTAGTTGTTCTATTTTTAGTGTTCAAATTTATTAGTCTATCTATATAGGTATACATAGAAACTACATATATCTGACTAAATGACTTACATATGATTGAGATCACATACAATGTATATGATTCTGTACCACTCCTTTTTCAGTTACTACATTATGAATATTTTCCTACGTTACTCAATTAACATAGTGGCCCAATTATAGCTAATAACTGACCCAGTTCCCTTTTGAGAGACATTGAGGATAGTTGTTTTGCTATTATAAATAATGTGGCAATGAGTATCCTTGTACCTCATGTTTACCTTCACCTAAGTCATTTTCTAGGTTTGTTTCTAGAACAAGGTTAAGTAAACTGGCAGGTTTAAGTTCTGATCCAGATCGTACCTGTGCTGTTCTTCCCACTAACAAAGAGCATAACAGTTTTCTTTTAGGCCTTTGTAGGAGGCCAAAAAGATAGGGAAATATTCCCCTTACTATGCTCTTTTTTTAGTTTTTATCATGCAGACCAAGTAATCGTTTTTGCTTTTTTCCTTGAGTCAGAGTCTCACTGTTTTGCCCAAGCTGGCCTCAAACTCCTGAGCTAAAGTGATCCTTCTGCCTCAGCCTCCTAAGTAACTGGACTATAGGCATGTACCACAGTGCCCAGCTTGAGCAACTGGTTTTAAATTTAGTCTATCACTATTCTTCTGGCTACATTGCAAAGGTTTTTCTAAGACTTCGATTTCTGATCAAGTCATTGCAGCATATTAGGAAGTGAGTGTTAAAATACAGTTTTTCTGACATTAACTCAGTTGTATTAGACCAGGATAGTCCCCTACCTGTGTGTTAATTATATCCCTACCCTGGACATACCTCTTCT